GCTCCTGCTCAGAGCCCAGCTGGGTCTCCAGCTTGAACTTACCTCTCTCAGCAGCCCTCCAACTTTTGTGAATGCCATTACTTTTTCTTTCTTCCCATCTCAGGCTCACGTTATCATCCCTATCTGCACTTCCAGACAACACATGGACAGCGGGAACCTAACCAGGACATCTGGGTTCATCCTCCTGGGTATCTCAACCAAGGCGCAACATCAGAGCCTCCTCTTCGCCCTCTTCCTCTCCATGTACTTGTTGACCTTGCTGGGCAACCTGATGATCATCCTGCTGATCCGATCGGATGCCCGCCTCCTCTGCACACCCATGTATTTCTTTCTCAGCCACCTTTTTTTGGCAGATCTTGGATTCGCCTCCACCACTGTAATCAAGGCGCTGGATAACTTGTTGTCCCACACCAAGACTATTACCTACTGGGGCTGCCTCACCCAGGTGTACTTCTTCCTGGTGTTTGGCGCCACTGACAGCTTCCTCCTTGCCTCCATGGCCTGCGACCACTATGTGGCCATCTGCCGCCCACTGCACTATTCTGTCCTGATGAGCCACAAGAACTGCCTCCTGCTGGTCACAGGCTCTTGGCTCTTGTCTCATCTCCACTCTTTGGCTCACACACTGCCAATGGCCCGACTCTCCTTCTGTGCCTCCAGAGAGATCCCACACTTCTTTTGCGATATCCATCCTGTGCTGCGTCTCTCTTGCACCTCAACCCAACCCAATGAGCTCTTGGCCTTCACTGAGGGCTCCTTGGTCATCATGGGACCTTTCCTCTTCATTGTGGTTTCCTATATCCTCATTCTGGTCACTGTCTTGAAAATGCCTTCAGCTGCGGGCAAGCGCAAGGCCTTCTCAACTTGTGGATCTCACCTAGGGGTAGTGTCACTGTTCTATGGCGCGGTGATTGCTGTCTACATCCAGCCCTCCTCAAACTATCGTGTCACGAAGGACCGGGTGGTGGCAGTCCTGTACACCATGGTCACCCCAATGCTTAACCCATTCATCTACAGTCTGAGGAATGAGGATGTGATGGGTGCAATGAAGCGGGGTATAGAAAGGCTAAGGTATAGAATGGCTAAGGAAAGGCTGCCTTACAATGGTTCTCCTTTCTCCATGGTCGGGGACAGAGGGTGGCACTTGGTGAGAGGGTCTCCTCGCGATACCCACTTGAATGTGGAGTGCCACAAGGGGTGATCCTCTCGCCAATGCTATTCAACATCTACATGCACCCCCTCACCCAGTTAGCCAGGAGTTATGGGCTGGGTTGCCATCAATATGCAGATGACACCCAGCTCTACCTGTTAATGGATGGCCATCCGTGTTCTGCCCCTGATACTCTGGCTAAGGCTCTGGAGGCTGTGGCTGGATGGTTGTGGCAGAGCCGGCTGAACCTTAATCCATCAAAGACAGAGGTCCTGTACCTGGGTCGGGGTGTGTGTGTGTAGATGTGGGTAGCAGACTCCTCACACTGGAAGGGGTGCCTTTGGTGCCGGCCCAGAAAGTGAGGAGTTTGGGAGTAATACTGGATGCCCCTCTCTCTATGGAGGCCCAGGTCACTGCAGTTCCCAGATCTGCATTTTTCCATCTTAGGCAGATAAGGCTGCTGAGACCATATATCTCCCCCCAGGACTTAGCTACAGTGATCCATGCAATGGTCACTTCCAGGCTTGATTACTGCAACTCACTCTATGTAGCAGTGGCCCAATATCTCAAAACCCTAGAGTTC